TGCAACGAATTCCGATATAGAGAGCTGTGCAAAATTCGTTATAACGAAGAATCCATTAGAGTGAAATTCGTGATGGTTCATGGAACATTTAGGACTGATATTTTTTTATAAGCAGGTTATGCTGTACACTTGTACAGTAACTCTTTTAAAGTGCTTCCACAGCATATATTTGAAGAAGTTTCATAATTTCCATTTCTTATGAACTAACAGAGAAAACCATGTGAAATGAAATTATCTTATTCTAGACCCTCTTCTTCTTTAATTTCCAGAAAAATTACTGATCTTACTGAAATATCCACTGGAAAAAACAAAAATACATGTTTAATTTTTTCAATAAAAGCTGTGTGTTCCCCAAAATAGATCAGTATTTTTAACATACTGTTTATCTAAAAAAAATAATTCATTCCTGAGTTTGAAAATAAATCTGGATGAATTCTGATGAGAGCATCATGTTTCATCCTTCTTGCTATATTATGCTAAATTTTCTGTATGTGAAGATCAGCATTTCTTTTGATGATTTTTAATGATGCACAAGTTGGATTTTCTCATTTTTCTCCATTTAATGAAAATTATTTTAATTCATGTAATCAAGACAAACAAATTGTTATGCTGATATTATTGAGAAAAATTAGTTTGTTTAAATAAACTTTTTTTTTATAACGCTGCCCTTATGGAGAAACTGCTGGAATTTGGGGAGAATGTTTCATAACAATACAAATACTTTATTATAACGCGATTCGTTGTAACAGCAGAGTTTTTACTGTAAATGTGTGCCCTAATTTCTCATTGAGGAATTTTTTAAGCAGAAAAACAATTGACGATTTTTTTTTAATTGAAAAAATAACATTTTACTGTATTTCGAATTTAAATTTCGGAATTTCTTAAATTTGGGGTTTTTTTAATGAATATGTAATTATAATTGACCATTTGTTTTAAATTTGTTTCAGCTTCTTGTACCACGGGTTCCAGCCATTGAGATGGTGGGGTCTATTGTGCGGGATGTTCCCATTGGTAAAGGACAGTTCGGAGGCGACTTTAACCCCTTACGCCATTGTGGGTGCCCCGAAACTCAGGTTCCGCTGGGAACGGGTGCATGTGGTCTACGGACTGAGTCTGATTGGGTTCTCAGTGTATTTGAGCACCCGGGGTGTCACCAAGTGGTTGAACCCGGGTCAGAACTGCTTCGAGGCCCTGGGCACGAATCTAAGCATTGCCACTGTGGTGACCAAGTTTGACCACTGTGTCCAGGGATCCACAGTAAGTGACTATTTTTTTTTTTTTTTTTTGTTTTTTTTTTTTTTTGTTTTTTTTGTTTTTTTTTTTTTTTTTTGTTAAATTTTTCTGTCAGACATCTTTTTCTCAAGTTTTTCATTTGTAAATGAATATTCTCTTCAAAATCTTTTGGCCAAATCTTTTGTGCATGATGTCCTTGGTCAATGTTAAAAGCACTCAGTATTTGAGATACTTTTAAATCACAAATGTTACTAATCT